GTGAGTTAAACTCTTGATTATCTGTCTTTAACTCACTATACTTATTAGTTTCAGACATTTAATGTGCATCTTCACTTTGACAACTGATAAGAATGCAGGGATGTCATATATAACATGTTTTTATCGTGCTGTATTCAAATTGACCTCTGTGTGAGTTTCATAAGTCAGAAGCTATTTGCTTTATGTGTTGAGTGTAACTGACAGTGAAGATGCATTCAATTAAACACACATTACTTGTTACTTAAATTTGCTGTGTAAGCTACAGTATGCAAAAGCTAGTTTCAGTAGCATATTTTACAAGAATAATAATACTGTTTTATTTATTTGATATTACATGAAAAAAACAAGAACAAGATCAGAGGTTTTGAGGGTGAAAAGTGTCAGCTGAAATAATAATGAGATGCTGAGATGCACATACAGTAAACTCAGGACTGCTGCAAATCTGATCCACTCTTAAGTTTATTTGGTAACACTTTGGGCCCTGTCATACACCCGGCGCAATGTGGCGCAAGGCGCGGCACAATAGTCTTTTGCTAGTTTCAGCTTGGCGCAAGAGTCGTTTTGAGGCGTTGCGCCACGCTGTTTAAATAGCAAATGTATCAGCCCTCATATGTGTGCCCATAGGCGTTCTGGTGTAAAAAGGAAGGCGCTCTGAGGCGTACTGCTGGCGCGTTGCTATTTTGAGAAACTATAATAGATTTTTCATTAGACCAAAACAAACCCGGTCTAAACTCCATCGCAGAGTTGCGCCTTGCTTACGCAGTGCTTAATACGCACAAGAGAACAATAGGCAAATATCTTTACATATGAAAAAATTTAAATATTAAGGATATATATATATAGGATATAATAAGAATAGATATAGAATATAAATATAAAGGATTAAAATATTACAAAACATATTATTTTCTAGCCTACATAAATATGAAAAACCACTGCTTTTATGTCTTCTTCATCTCAGGAGGCTTTTTCAGTACATTCATAACAATTTGCTTTTGTATAATGTTATTATTATTAGCAGTATTATTTATTATATCCATATTTATATTTGTTTTATTAAAAACAAGCTTAGATTTGCCCACCTGTCAGGTTTTAGACCATATGGGGCACAGCATGTGTTTTAGGATATAACTCAGGTTTTTGAGCACACTTCGTTATAATTATTCTTTTATTTGTTTGCTGGAAATTAGAACTGAATTTAGAAATAGTTTTGAAACTAATATTTGCGCTTAACAAACGCAATTAATTATTTATAGACTAATTGATGTCTGTGCGTAAAGGTTAAGAATAAGATAATATTTTATAACTATAAATGAACAGTTAATATCTTAATGATAGGCAGGTAATACGACAGTGGTTAATAGCATGGATTGTGACCGAAACTAAAGTGTTTTTTTTTTTTTTAAGAAAAAAAAATGCTGTTAGGCAACCACATATTGTGAACAATCTAGTGTGTTTGTGACAAAGTGCCTCATAAACTGAACCTACAACTCTAAGATTAATAAGAATGGGTGTGAAAAAGCTTTGTTAGGTATCTCTTCAAGTGAAACTTGTTCACATGGATCCATGAAAATGAATACAAATGCTTCAATAGGCATGCCAGGTTGATAGTTGGCGATGTCATTTTGTAAATATTCGCCTCATGGCAAAAAGGTCGCTGGTTTGAGTCCCGTCTGGCTCAGTTGGCATTTCTGTGTGGAGTTTGTGTAACGGAGGCCAGCTACTAAGTGCTGTGCAGGTAAACCTCACTCCGCTGTCCTCTAAAAGTGCTCTAGCAACAGGTACAGGCTATGGCTTTAGCCTCCTTGGTAGAACAACTTACTCCTATGCGGAAGGTCACAGGTTTGATCCCAGCTCGGAGCAGGTTGGGAGATATAGGACTGGAGGGGGTTACATTGGTGCCGTGACCCGGATGGGAGTGAGCTTTAGGGGGGTAAGTGTAACGGAGGCCAGCTAGTAAGTGCTGTGCAGGTAAACTTCACTCCTCTGACCTCTACAGGTGTTCTAGTGACAGACGCTAGAGGCCATATGGTCTTTAGCTTCCTTGTTAGAGTATCTGACTCCCATGCGGAATGTCGCCCAAGATCCCAGCACGGAGCGGGTTGGGTGATATAGGACCGGTGAGGGTTACATTTGCATGTTCTCCCTGTGTTGGCTCGCTTTTGCAACCATGTTGTTGCTGTAGCTGTTACTGTATATTCAAGGAAATTTCTCAAACCCCTTCATTTGTAGTGCGATCATTAGTAAGGGTGTCACGATCCTCCAAATTCTCGATTCGATTACATTTTCGATTCTGAAGGCACGATTCGATTCGATTTTCGATTATGAATAATTAATTAATTAATGACGAATTAATTATTTGTAGCCTACCGTTTAAACTACCTGACCTGCATGGTCTTTGTTTTACCCATAAACAAATCATACAGTAAATGAATAAATGCAAGTTACACACATAATTACCACCTGTCAATCACTTTTTCTGCGGGACTCGTGAATAGGCAGTAATCTGTGTTGTTATAATGGCGTCTGTAAAAAAAGAGGCACAACCAACAGGAACCAGCCAACAGTATCTGAGGTGTTCGCTAAAATGACTAAGTACAAGTGAGTGAAAGATTGAAGCGGTCCTCTGACTGCCTGGACCTGCTGTCTCGAGCGCATGGCTGTGTATGCGTCTGTGTCTGTGTGGTCACGTGATGTGCATTTTCAGAGGTAGAGAGGAAGGAGGGCTGCTCAGAAATGCCACACGCCACTGTGGATGTCAAATCATTGTCGTTCTAAAATGCCATTTAAAAACAAAGACAGTGTAAACAGGACCTGAGTGTGTACTTTTCGCGAGCAGATTTGCAACGGGGGCGGGCGGAGGATTGCGATGTCGCTGTTGTCTATCGGACGAACCGTACGTAATACGTACATAGCAGAGCTTGCAAATCTTTGGGGTTTTTTTGTCGACAACACGAACGTTGTCAACATAACTCACTGGAAATCCAAAATGCTTACACACCGACGACTTCATTGAAAGAGGAGAGGGTTTAAGTTCTGTCGACAGGTCTCCTGCTTCTGCAGTTTAACAAGCACTTCAACAAGCCTGTTTTTTTCCCGCTTGACAAGCCAAGCTGACATGACATGGGGGCGTGGCTGCATCGACGATTCTATTTTTTGATTCGATAATCGAAATTGAGCATAAATTTCAATCAATTTCGATTAAAAATCGAAATCGTGACACCCCTAATCATTAGTGGTGTAAAGTAACAAATTACAAATACTGAAATGACTGTAATTGAGTAGTGATTCTCAGAAATTGTAATTTACTAAGTTGTTTTAAAAATGTGTACTTCTATTTTCCCTTGAGTACATTTTTAGTGCTGTCTCTGTACTTTTACTCCACTACTTCCCTTCAACCTGCTGTCACTACTTTATTTTTTCTTGTCTATGGGGATTAGAAAAATCAGTCCTGTGATTTCTGTCAAATCAAATAGAAGATTCGCACATAGAAGATAAATTGCATCGTAATGAACTACCTCAAGGCATGTGCACTGTATAATTTCAGCACTGTTTGGAAGCATTAAAAGTGTCCATGCAAGAAGACGTCCAAAATGACACACTCAAAATTTACACTCATTGACCCACCAGTTTAGATGCTTGTCACTGATAAGAAGCTTTTGGCATGTTGCATTTTGTTTGAAAATTTAAATCGGGTTGACATCAGAAAACAACATCAGGCCAATGTCAATGTCCAACCTAAAATAAACCCAATATCAACATCTAATGATGTTACAGCTTGACGTTGTGAGGACGTTACCACTATGAAGTCTATCAGATATTTGATTTTGGTAGCCATACAGTACCTGACAAATAAATGTCAGTATTTGACGCCAATATGATGTTGGTTTAAGATGTTAGCTCAACGTTGGATTTTGGTCACTCGAACATTATCTAAAATCAACCAAATATCATCGTCATTTGACATCGTTATTGGACATTAAAATATCATTGTCCTTAGATGCTTGCTAGACATTGAATTTTTGTTACCTGACATCACAACCTAAATATAACCTAATTTTAATGTCTTATGACGTCGTGTGCCTGCTGGGCAATAGCTAAATACACTACAGAATGTTACGTTTATACACATCCACAAATTAGATGTAAATGCATCAGCTTTTTATAGCGTAATGCACACTACTCACTACTCTTGAGTACTTTTGAAAGGGATACTTTTTACTCATACTTTGAGTAATATTTACAACAGATACTCTCTACTTGTAGTAGTTGTAGTTACTCTACTTGCACTACATTTTTTGGCAAGTAATGGTACTTTTACTTAAATATGATTTTTCAGTACTCTTTCCACCACTGGTGATCCAAAAATATCTTAGTTTGAAGAACTACATGGCCCTTTCCCTTCCCCCTTTAAGCATAAATGAATTGGGACACCCCTTTTCCTTCACACTAAGGGTTAGAATTTGGATTGGCCCCAAGTTGACCAAACACAGATCTTGTGCTCTGTGTTGTCATGACATGCATAGTAGTTGTATTTTTGCAAAGAGGTCTGCGTCAGGGTAGAGCAAAGGCAACTGCGTGTAAAGGCTACCCCAGACCTACCACATGCACAAAACGCAGAAGTATAAATCTGACTTTACTGTGAGCAAAGTTGTTTGAACTCCTAATCCTGTTATTTGCTCAGTTCCCTAACTATATTCAATACGCATCATGTTATCATGGATTTCATTTGATAATTACATTATTCTACCACTGCAGTAGGCTTAAATAGACATGCTCATGAAATGAATGACTTCCCTATCAGCTATCTGCAGATGTTCTTCTCAGAAAGATATAAATACAAGTCATCGACAACGCTGTAATGTTTTGTGGCTGTGATGGTGGAGGTTTTTAGCTGAAAAGACACGTAACAAACAGCTTACAAAAACCAAGCCAAGTTGTTGTACTTTAATGGCTGTTTCATAGTTGTTTTGCATTATTATAAACCAAATATGACTTTA